TCATCTTCAACATCGCCAGGCGTCATGATCATTCCTTGAACCACGTCTTGCACGGCCCAAGAAGTGATGATAGGGATAAAATACCGGCGCGCGCGTTCCATTCGCTGCTTCCTCTCCACAACAGAGCAGTCGGCTGGAATAGTCTTCTCATAGACCTCGAAGATGTTGCTGAGAATCTGTTCTTCCGACAGTCGATCAACTTCCAGCCAAGCATCCTTGAGGACGACTGGTTTCTCTTCTTTCTGGTCCTTCTTTTCTTTCTCGTCCTTCTTTTCTTTCTCCTCTTCCACAAGGAAGACATGGGTAGCACGGCCACGAATATGATGAACGCGATGTCTGAAGAACATTTGCTGTGATGTATATGTTCGCATTGTACCCCCGTGCGAGACCTGGAATTTGTAGCCAGAGGCGGTACGGGTGATTGTGGGGTCGATCCCAAGGTGGAACTCGCTTGCGCACCCTATCCGGATGACATATTCGACAAGAAAATGCGGATCCTGCTCAAATCAACATCAGATCACAGATATGCGGAGAGAGATCTCGCACCTGCCTCGGTAATATCCACCTCCTGGGATACCACCACACCTTCTCTCGACATCCTGTAGCCGCGCATGTTGTTGTTGATAATCGTCGACCCGTAGACGCACCATCGCCGGAGGTCGGTATCAAGGGGCATATGTAAATGCCATATTATCTGTCTGATGATCTGTAATGCAGAGATCAGACGAGTTACAAGTCTGACAATGGCAGGAGACAAGCCTCCTCCAAATCAGCTCGTGTCCCGTCCTTCTTGAACTCTTGAATCTCGCGAATATTGATCCAGCTGATCTTATCAATCGAAGTGGCATTGGCTGTAGATGATGTTATTCTGACAAAATTCGCGTCCGGTTTCGTGCGATCGTCTGGCCGTTCGTCTGTGGGGGGCGTGTACGGCTTTTGCTTGTAGATCAGCTTTTGCGGGGCAAGTGCTGGAGGCACAGCATCGAGGATGGCGCTGAAAATAGGCACGAGCGGTTGATAAACCTTCGTTTCATGTCTGGGATCGGTTTTGGGAGGCTTCCTCAATTCTCTCCAAGTCTTCGAAACAGGGCAGTATATCCCGTCCTGCACGAGACGCTTGTATACACCATTGATGTCGTCGCGAGTGAGTTTCGTGGGCGGCAGGATATCTGAGAGCCAGTGTGCTTGAGTTTTCTCAGGCAACGTCTTGCCCAGCTTGGCGCCCAAGAGCTCCTTCCGGTGTTCGAGTTTACCGGACTCGAAGAGTGGCGGAGACGTTGGCCATTGACCAGACGGGGTATCCTGAACAGATGATTGCAGATGTTCAGTTCTTGGTGGGGTAGAAGGTGGTTCCATAGTCAATAATTATGACATGGAGGTATAAGCAGTTGGTCGTGCGGAAGAGAAAGGTGTTGTGTAGGTTCTCCTGATGAAGGAGTCACTTGAATGGCGACGGATGCTTTTCGTGCGTGTTACAGCGCTCACTGAGCAGGCAATTGACTGGCCTCGCTCATGCCAATGATATTCACTTGCTCTCATGTCAAGACTCACAGTTCATCAAATATCTCAATTGCCTCTTCAGGACATGCTTGGGGACAGCCCAGTTGTACCAATCCTCCTCCCAGGCTTTGGGGATGACTGCGGGCATTTATGGAGTCATACATATTTGTTGGAGATGGACCATGCTTGCCAGCTGGACAGCTGTACAGGTAGGGTAGTCACCTTCCCTATTTGGGAAGCAGATGCTCTCCATGCAATGAAAACATGTAACATTCATTCCCAGTATCCTCCCTTTGAGCTAAGTCGAACATCAAGCACCACACACAATCTTAGTTTAATGGAGAGTGAAAGCAGCCAGCACCACCCACAATCCATACATTTTCTAATTCCTACCCTGGCTTGCCATGCAAAAGAGCTGCTGAACTTGTGATTTCCATGCCGTCTTGATTGAGTATGATGGTGGGATCAATCCTGAGGTTGATCCATGGGCAAACAGATGGAACATATTCAATCAAGAAGTGAGGTTCCTGCTCAGCTCAGCATCAAACAGACATTGAGACACACCTCATTAATATCAACCTCCTCCAACACTACTATGCATTCTCTCAACATCTTGTAACCTCACATGATATTGCTGAAGAATGTTGGGCTGTGGACATACCATCGATATCATTGTCAAGAGCCAGATGGAGATATCATTTCACTTGTTTCACTATCTGATTATGTTCATCAGTCACATTCCATCCATGTGACTCAGTGGGACAAAACCTCATCTGATTTGCTCAACCATGCCCTCAGCACCTGCACCTCATGAACACACTCCCAACCATTAGCTGCTGTGGGACCCGTTCACCAGGAAGACCTTGTGAAATATGCACTGATCCAACCCAAGAGGTGTCCAAAATATTGGTCAGATGGGTGGTGTGTGAGAACTCGCTAGGGAAGGAGGGGAGAGAAGGGGAAAGTCAGTAGAAACATGGGAGTCAAGTCTGTAGCTGAGCTACCAAAAGTTGGTCTGTAATAATTCAGAGGTCAGTCTCCATCTAGTCAAGTACATCCAGTCAAGTCAAATATGCTAAGTCAAGATGATGCTGCCTATCCAGTATGGGGATAATCAGATCTGTATAACACTATCAGAAAAGGGGCAGAATAAGCTAGATACAGGAGTTTCTGGAAACTACTTATACTAGCTACTAAAAACCATACTCTATACTAGTCTGGTCTCTGGATACCTCTCCTAGACAGGCATTGGCATGCGAAATATCCATGTGGGTCAATCCCATTGTGGAGGAAACCTGCTGTTGTCATGCCGAATATGTGGGTGGTCCTGTTACCTGGGGAATCCTAGTAGTTGCCATGCCAAATATCCAGGTAGGGTCAAGACTTGTTGCTGGGGTGCATTGTCTGCATAGTGAGGGTCTGTAGTGCTGCGCAACAGTCTCTAAGGCCCAAAAATAGCCATGGGAATATTGGCCTGACACACCCCGCCAGAGGTGGGGTTGTTCAGCACCTGTCAGGGCACCAGCTCATTGCTTGGTCAAGAGACATGACTAAGCCTTTA